TATCTGGATTAATGTTTTGGAGGTATTCTCAAGTGTTCACAGATTGCCATTTGTTTAATTATATGAGACTTCAGGACCTCACTATGGTGAAAATTTCAGTCATGGTCTCATTGTTTCTGGTGTCATGTGGTCTTGTAGGTGGTTACTAATATGTTTTTAATTATTGCCACATAAAACATAGCTAATATGCCACTATACCAAATTTCAAGTGCACAGTTCATTAGTTGTCACCATCAAACTGAAAGCTAGATATAGATTTCTTGCAGCCTGCATGTTGTTTTACTTTCTACAAAAAATTAACCTTTGCAAATATTGCATGTTTTTTTAATATCTATTATCACACATCATTATGAGTATTCTAAAGGAAGTGGTGCTTGGTAATTTTTATATGGTGGCATTTTCCTACACTTGTCATTTTTAAAACTAGCATTTCATGGTTCTGTGACACCATCATGTGTGAGAAATGCCACTGCTGATGGTCTTACAGCTACTGTAAAAGGCAGCTTGCTTGTTTAGTCAGTGCATGATGGCATATGATGTGGGCTTTGATAAATATTTTAGAAGTTTTCTATTTCTCATGAAAAACAAATTGTGAATTGCAGATAAAGCATGCCTCAACATATAATTTTTATATTTATTTTATGTGTGTTAAAATTCCTCAGCATAATGATCTAAAATGCAAAAATCCAAAAAACATTAGTTCCTAGGCTTTCCGTATAAGGGATCTGGTGCTGTATATGAGTTAATATGCTCATTAGCTCGCTCACACTTAACAGTGAGTGACTTATAATAAAACTGAGATTTCTTCCACCAAGTAGTTTAAAATCTTCTGTTTAAGATAATTTTGTCTACCACTATGTGTACATTAATTAGTGAATTTATTGAGTTTATATTACTTAATTTCTGGGTTTCATTCTGTATCAAGTATTCTGAACAGGACACATTGTTTTTGGAAGCTGGATCAGGTGTCTGCTTTGTTGGGTACATAAGAAAAACCTGATCTCAGTGACTGGACAGCCCAGGTCAGTCAGCTACAGCTACACAAACCACTTAAACCAAGTTTTGTCAACAAGAAATAATCAGAAAATGTAAATAAACAATAAGAATTATAGACATAGACATTAAGACTTAAAACTAAGACAGAAAGGGAAACTAAACGTAGAAGAGAACCAGTTGGTTGAAAATGTTAACTAACATGGTTGTAAAATACCAAACTGCCGGTGACACCTTATATAGAGCTCCAGAATAACAAATGCAAGACAGTCTGTTAGGTAAACCTGGAACCAGTTAATATAAGTAGCATAATCAGCAAGTTTATTAAAAAGAAAGGGATGCAGAACAAGACCTGAGATCAAAATAAGCAGCATCAGTGTGATGAGAGCAGACTGAGGGGGTAACAAAATCAAGATAGGTAACTGAGTTCGTAGCAATAGATTTTGATTTAGTGAAACCATGTTGACAGCGGTTCAATTCGTGCTTTAAATAATGCATAATAAGTTATAATACTTTGGAAAAATTATTGAGAATGGAAATAGGCCTGTAATTACTAACAGCGGTACAGTTGCCTTTTTAAAAAAAACCAGTATACAGTATGTTGTTCAGGAAATAAATTCTGATTAATAAACTAATCAACCCAGTTTCAATTAGTCTTTTTTGTGTGTGTATTGACAACTGTTACAAAAGCTGTGTCAGAATTGGTTGAAACTGCAACATCAGCATTCCTCCTGGTTGTAGACTTATCTGAGGAATTGTTGACATTAACACTGCTGACATTGTGACCAGCTGGCTGTAGGAAATTCCTTGTGTTGTAATCCAGCTGATACAGTGCCCCTGTAGGGCTTAACTCCAGGATTCAAAGGTCTGCAGTGTTCTGAGTCTGATCTGTAATGTCAAAGTAGGTGCAATGGCAGAAGATTTTAATATTGAATATTTAAGAAACTCATTGTCTTTTTTAAGTTCCTGCATCTCAGTGAACTTCAAAACCATCTGAAGTTTCCACAAGGTTGTTCGTTTTAACCCCATTGAATTGCATGGTTTCATTTTGGACAGCGAGCGACTCTGGGTCCTTTGGGCTTTGCAAAATAAGCTCCCCATCTGGAGATAACAGTTTCTTCGGAAGCTCAGACGTTGAAGAAGATTGCATGCTGAGGATGGAAGTGTTCTCATCCCTTGAACAGTGAAGAGTGAAATAATAATAATTGAAGTGTGTAGTTTATTAACTGGTGTTAATTTTGAATGTCAGCAGTACATGTAACTATAACTGTAAAACACAATGCAAGAAAAATTAATTCTGTCAGTGTATCCTTTAATACTTATGGCTTTTGTAACAAAAATCAGTTCCTCTGTTTTTATGTTAACCTTTATTGTTTATTGCTTGAAACCTGATTAATATTTTAAACTGTGTTCGTCTATATCCCTTGTACTTAAGGCTTTGCACATTCTGTAGTTGGTGTGATTAACTTTTAATCTGTAGAATTTGTATGTATGTTCATGTTTCATATCATTAATGTGAATGCTTTTACTACTAAGGACCTTTATGCAGACAAAAGTGAACTGTTCCTTGAGTTGCAGTTCTCATATCTAATATAACTGTTTGAAAAGTTAAAACATTATCAGTGCCTGCCTTAACAGAAGCTGTCACAATAGAAATGGGTTAGCACTGTTAGAATTCTGTGAAGAAAATATGACATGAATATTAGTGCATGGTTTCTAAATTTTAATTGTGACATTATTTTATTCTGTTCTAATCATGTTCTGTTAGAAAGATAAGTATTGATAATGTTTTAACATTTAGCTAATTGTGTTGGTTGTGAGAGGTCAGTTACCATGAATGGAATATTCAGTTTGGTAGTTGTGCTGACTTGACTAAGTATGATACTGTGTCTGAGGCAGCTGCTATCATTGTTATTATCATTTAATTAATTTTATTTCAGAAGATTACATAGTAACCAAAATAAAATAAAAAATAAACTACTGTTACCATGACATGGAGTTTAGTTTACTTTAACAGGTTATTTGGTTAATTTATAATGCTGTATCAACTATTGAGATAGTGTGGCATTGACTGAGGTACGAATAATTGTGAATAATGAGTGGGCAGGGATGGGAAAAATTTAGACATGAGAAGTCTACAGCCACACTTCTATCTAATCTAATACAGTTTAATCTAATCTTCTGTACTGTTAAGTGGTATACATGCCATGCAATTGACTGATTTCGAACTAACAAATCATCTGGCTTAAAGCTTACAGAGGATGCTTTCATAACTCTGAATGTGAAATTACTTGCTACTTTTGTCCTCATGTAGTGTGTTAAACCTGGATCAATCACCAGGTTCACTATTAGTCTATCATAATAAGCTGTACAGTGTAACTTATTATTTCCTCACCCAAATATGTTGGTTTACCCATGTGTAATATGTGTAAAATTATTATACTCTGTATGTTCCATGGAATGAGCTGTTGTCTGTTGACTCCTGGTTTCAATCCTGAGAGAGTTTTCAGGGTATTGTGCTCATGATTTACCATTCTTCACTTTGTTTCCTTATACAAATTGGTTGTTGTTTCCTAATAGGTCCTTGCCATTTTTCTGTGTGTCTGCAGTTATAAAGTATATTGCCCTTCCTTTACCATTTTATCATTGTTTCACTAAGTGTATTGTATTTAAATGATATTTAGCACCCACAAAGTTTTTGTTTGCAGGGAAGTACTTTAATAAAGCTATCATTTGCATGACCTGGCCGCAGATATGTTAATCCTATAACTGTGGTAGACGCCTCTTCTGATCTTGGACATCTAATTTTTATAAGATGGCTGTCTTCTAGTTTGTTGCACCATGTAGTCTGGTAGAAGTTTACCAACTTTTTAGAGGTCCTTGCTACCTCTGTAATTATGACGGTCACTTATTGTGCTGTTAGTGGAGGCTGCAGGGACTTCTGAAATGTTGGTAAACTTCTACCGGAGCACATAGCACTACAACCTACAAGACAGCCATCTTTGGACTCACTACTATGAATACCTCAAATCCTAATTTCAATTTTTTGGTTTCTTGAGTTTCTTGTTCCTTTCAGGTTATATATTATTACACTCTTTAATACTGTTTCATCATCCATTTTTCTTAATGTTAATCCCATTTACTGTTCTTCTTCAAAAGAATGTAATTTTATCTGTATTCTATTTTTTAATCTTACCACCTTTATGCATTCTGTTTCAGGGAACTATTTTCTTTCTTCATGTTTCCTTATTCCTGAAGCCAAATTACCATTCAGAACATTTAGGTTTGTTTGTGTGCTTGTTTTTCTGCTTAACATAGCTTTGTCATCATGGTACTTGGTGTACAGTACGTAAGACTGTTTTATTCCATTTAGTTTCTTTGTGGATTGGCATTTATTGGCCAGTAAAGTGTTGTCTAATTGGGTTTCATTCCTGGAAGGCGCAGTATTTTTATTTCACCACAATGCCTGGATTGTCTTCGAGATTCATGGAGCTTCCTATCCAGTCATACTGGACAGCTTTCCCTAGAGAAAGAAGCAAACCATTCATATCTGTCTTGCTGAGGACCAGAATAAATTGAGATTTACCTCCATTCCGCCTTTATACTTTCTGATGTGCTGGGACACAGGGTCACCTTTGCCTGTATTGAACATTATGTGGTTTCTCGTACAAGGGTCAGTTTTAATAGTGATTTTCAATATGATCTGCATCAGTGGTTTCCCAGGTATGAGTACCCCATATGTCTTTAGTTGTACAATACAAATAATATTCTGCAGATCTTCAGTCTCATAATTACTAACACACGAACAGAATATGAATCATCATATCATGAAGAGAGATGTTTTGACACTGATATAGAAAAGATAAGTTCAAAATAATCTTAAAACTGTTTAAATGGCTGTTGTTTAGTGTAGCCCAACAGAGGTTTGCTTTTTTAAAATAAACCCTGTTGTTTCTTAGTCCATACATTTTTGTTACTTATAATCATATGTATAAAATATTTTTCAGTCTGCTGGAAAACTTGGTGGTAATGAAACAGTTCCATCATCAAAGAAAGAAGTAGCTACATCGGCAAAACGAACCAAAATGTCAGCCCATGCACCTGCAGGAACACTGTTGTCAAATCAGTCTCCAGCAGTAGAAATGAAGCTACCACAGGCAGAAACTGTTGATGTACATGGACATTTTATGAAAACAAAACTGACAGAATATGAAATGTATGGAGGAAATGGAAGCCGAACTGTGAAGCAATTAAGTGTCGAAAATGACTTACATTATGGGGCTGTACAAAAGGAAGGTGGAATGAAAACAGTGGCTATGCCTGAAAACCTAGATCTGTATGTTGA